GTGCTAATCAAGACGTGTATCCCAGACCGTCGGTACCCGTCCTCGTCGTCTTCGATCGCACCCCCTTGGGGGGATATCTTCCTTACCTGCCACGCGTATTTAGTGCAACCCCTCAAACAAGGGGAGAGAGGACGGGTGGAAGGGGGAGAGAGGATACTGGAGCACGCGAGAAATTAGCAGGAGGGGGGCAAGGAGCAGAAAACAAGTGGTAGAACCAGACGGGCAGATCGGGTGGGCAGACCCATTGCGGGCAGGTCGGGAAGGCGGGCTCAGGCGACGAGGTCGAGCAGGCGGGTTGTTGAAGCGTGGGTCCTGCATGAACCGCGAGGAAGTCTGGAGCAGTAGCGCGATTCTTAGGTAAATCGTGAGAAAAGCCAACGTGGGCCATGAAGGGCATAAAATCCGAGGCCACAGAGGGCAGCGACGGGGCCGCTGAAGGCAGCACCGGAGCCACGAAGGGCAGCGAGGGGGCCACCAAGGGCGACAGCGGGGCCACGAAGGGCAAGCATATGGGGGCCACGACGGGCGCGAGCGAGCCAGGGCCACGAAAGGCATTCGTATACGGGGCCACAAAAGGGCGACAGCGGGGGCACTGGAGGCAACAAAGGGGCCACGAAAGGCAGCGAGGGGGCCACGAGGGGCGACAGCGGGGCTACGAAGAGCATGCGTATGGGGCCACGACGGGCGCGTGCGAGCGGGGGCCACGAAGGGTATATAATGCGGGGCCACAAAGGGCAGCGACGGAACCACTGAGGGCAGCAACGGGGCCACGAAAGGCAGCGAGCGAAGGCGACCGCGGAACCACTACGGGCAACGAAGGGCATCGAAAGCGCGCGAAGGGCAGCGAGCGGCGACTGCAGTCATTAACGGGCTGGTCGGGCGGGCAGGGCCCGACGGGCGGGTCGAGCGGCGGGTCGTTGAAGCGTAAGTCCTGCTTGATCCGCCAGGCAAAATGTAGCGGGGGCGCGATTCCTGAGTGTCGAGGACGGGCATCTGAATAAATTGTGCGGAAATATGAAGCGAAGCGGCGGTGGTAAGTTGCCAGGAAGTCCCAAGCGAGAACGCGATTCTGCTGTACATCGTCAAGAAGTACCAAGCGGGAGCCGCGATTCCGTGGTAAATTGCTAAAAAGTCCCAAGCGAAAGCGCGATGTTTTAATCCATTGTGAGGAAGTATCAGGCGGTAGCCGACCGAGGGCCAACGACACAGCTTGAGTTTCTGGACGTTCCTTGAAGAAAAAGAACAGCGTGCGAGCCCCAGGAGGGGCACTTCAATCAAAAAATACCACGTGCATCGGGCGGGGGGGATCGACAATAATTATTCTTCAGGAGTGAGAGTTTAACAACAACTACTACTACTACTACTACTACTACTACTACTACTACTACTACTACTACTACTACTACTACTACTACTACTACTACTACTACTACTACTACTACTACTACTACTACTACTACTACTACTACTACTACTACTACTACTACTACTACTACTACTACTACTACTACTACTACTACTACTACTACTACTACTACTACTACTGCGGCAGCAACAACAACAAACCGATACCAACGTTTGAAATGCGGTGTGCGAAAACAACTATATGCGGAGAGGGCGGGGTACTCAGCATCCATATTGTGCCATTGTGGAAAAAGAGGGCGGGAGGTGGGGGGATAATAGACGAGGGGGCTGGGACAATGATCTCAATACTTCGTTGGAGCTTAAGAGACGGGTATCAATGCAAACAGGGCTCAGCCAGGGCACCGGACCCTGCAGGATCCTGAGAAGACCCCCTCTGGTTGACCCTGGTTCGCGAGCCGCTCGTGGCCGCGAGGCGGCCGCGCATATTGGCTGACCCGGGTTTGTGAAGCCCTGCGTTGCAGTTTTCTTCCTGCATTGCAGTTTTTGGATTGCTTGCTGACCCAGATCTGACTGACCGGGTTAGCAGATCCCCTAGGAAAGGGTGGGAGGCAAGAGCTTCCACGTTCGGTCGGTGCTTATGGAACGTACTTAGTCGGTGGCATTCGGTCGGATCGGTCAGGTCGGCTGCTGCGTCGTTGCTGCGCCGCTGCGCATTTTTTAGGTTGCCCGCGGTCTGTCAGTTTCCACCGGGTTCCGTTTCGCTGTCGGTCCGGTCGGGTTTTGATTGTGTTGTCGCAGTGGATCGTTTTTGGGAGAGGATCTGAGAGGAGAGGAAACGGGAGGAGAGGAGAGCAGAGCGACGTGTGTGAACATTCTTAATATCACATGCAGCCGAATCCGTTTGTAATGATGATCAGTTTCTGCCAGACGCCTTTGCATGCTTCCTCGGGCAACCTCGCACTATCCTTGTCCTGTTGATGCTCCTCCTACTGTGGGACGCACTGCAGGGATCCTGCATCCACTTAGTTACAGGTATTTCTCTGCAAGCATGCGGGTATCCTCCAACTCCCAGATCCCAATATTTTGTTGGCGCCGTCCTACCTGATTCATCGGTGGTCACCTAGAACAACCAATGGTTCTATTCGTACGGGGCAACTCCGAATCTGACTTGAACCCCTGCTCCTACATCACGAGTCTACCACTTGTTGTGCCCATCCAGTAACAATGCCCTGGGGAGTTGCGCAGATCATGGAAGTACCGAAGATCGGAATCGGCTCGAGCCCAAGGGCTTGGCATCGCTCGGAAAAAAAGCACAGGAAATGGACGTCCGAGCGATGGCCAGCGGGTCAGCCACGCATTCCTGCGAGAAGGCCCAGGTAAGCGGCCGTTTGGCCCACTATGTGAGCCATGTTGGAGACCTCGGAGGCGCCCGAGGGGCTCTCGTGGGGCGCGCTCTCGGGGCCATCTCGGAGGCCATCGATCAAAGAAGAGCGGGTCCTTAATGTCCCCCCTTTCTCGGAAGCCGAAACATTGTTTCCCACGGCCATCTTGGGAAGCTCTTTGGACGTTTCGGGGGCCGCCTTGGAGCTCTTCTTGGCCCGTATTGGCGCACTCGTGGGCGACACTAGACCCACCTTCTGGCATCCACAGCCGATCGAAGCGACGGCGAACAAGCAAAACATATTGATGTCCGCCAGGTGGAAGGAGTCTGGCCTCTCGGGGGCGTCCTTGGAAGGTTTGAGGCCGTGTGGGGCCATCTGGGTGCCTATGAGAGGCATGCGGGAGGTCATCTGGATCCATCTTCTGCAACAGCGTGCCACCTTGGAGGCCATGACCAGCTGTCCGAGGCCATATTGAAGCGATCTCGGGCCACCTTGGACCCTCCGACCCGCGGACCCCCAGGGAGAGGGGATCGGTGGAGAGGCAAGGGGAAGAAGGGGTGGAGAGGCAGGGGAAGAAGGAGGTTTGAAGCACTGGCTCCATAAACCACCTGCGCTCAGAGGGCTGGTGAGACTCATGGCCTGTGTGCTCTCCCGGTGTCGAATCCGACTGCGTCCCGCTCCACGCCCTGTTCCAACCTCCTTTTTTCCGGCAGGTCGTGGCTCCTGATGCTGTTCAACATCGACCTCGGCAGGGACCTGCGCGTCGACATCTTTCGGACGGGACGGGACAGCCCAGGAGTGTCGCACGCCTCCGTGCACTCTATCAAGATCAAATGTGGGCTCACGCAGCGCAGCAGCACTCCTGCGGGACAGCCCGGCTCTGTCTGCAGGGTCAGGGCTACCGCGACATCAGCAGGGCGATGCCGATCACCGAAGTGTGTAGGGTTGCTTCAGATGTGCGCTCGATATTGGCCATTGGCGAAGGTCGACGAGAGTGCCAATCATTTCGATTGGTCGCGCTCATCGTCCTGAGCTTGCTGTTTGGAGGGTATCTGCATGTTCGTGATCACAGATTTCGAGGTCAAGCGGCACGTTTCGACATCGGGCGGCAAGGCATCGTCAGCAGCCTTGGGTTCGCTCAGCCTTGTGTAGCCGCTTGAAGACTTGTCAGTCAGACGTTCGAGCTCAGAAAAAAGACAGCCTCGAAGTATTCAGGTTGCGACGAACTGCGACTGTACACGATTGGGAGTTGCTGCCCTGTAGTTGGCGTCGAAGCAGAGGGGTGTGTCGACGGAGATGCCTCCCAGGGCTCACACCTTCGTGCCCGCGCACTCACCACCCGTACTGCGCCACATCGCATTGCCATCACTCAGCGATTACCTCGTCCCAGCGTTGTTGGAGAAGGAGTTCTGCATAAAAAAGCCCGAGCCCAGGATCTGGCATCATTTCCCCCTTCCCTGCGCCTCCTCGAAACCATATCAGAGCAAGGAACACTGGGACACCCGCCGGGGGGGGGGGGGGCGCGCAGATCATGGCCGATGCCCGGGACACGGCGGTCGCCCTTTTCCAGGGGGGCGGCGCGCTGGCGCGAAGATGTTCGCGCGTCGCGGGGCACCATGCGCGAAGGTCTCAGAAGCATGTCCGTAGCCTCCTCTCCCTCCGTTCATGCTGGTCCTCCTCGTGATCGTGTTCTTGCTCATGGTTTGGCCGGTCGGCGCGTGCCCTCGCGCCCCCTCCCCCCCCATGGAGCAGGTCTTGGCTGTTTGGGGCGCCCGTTTCAGGCAGGCGGGGACTCCCGCGTGGGACGCGATGTTGGAAACAGCCGCCCTGAGCAGAGGTCCGGAGCCCGCGCCCCACCCCCCCGCCCAGTGTCGAAACGCCGAACACGAAAACTCAGGAGGGAAAAAAAACACAGACACAATTAATCGTCGATTCCCCAGAAAATATGTGAAAATATGGGAGTGGGGGGGGAAGACAAAAACCCAGAAAACATGAGAAAAGATAGGGAACCTTTTTATTTGTGTGCATTTCTTTGTGTGTCCCAGGGCCCCTTCAAAAACGTTCACATCGGCCACCTCCGGAGAGCTAACCCAAAGAGTACGGACTTGAGACTGCTGAGCACGGACAGCTTTGGAGTCGGAGAGGGCCGATGCACCGTATAGGCGCCCTCGGACCCCAGCAGAGAGCGTCGGCTCGACTCACGAGTGGCCGAGTTCCGTCCCTCGCGCGATGCTTCCCGGCCATGCTGATGAC